AATGTAATAGTTACATTCCTGGCCATTCCTTCATTACCAAGAACAACAATAAATGGGACCAAAGTGAAAAATAACATAGGAAATAAGAAATGGGTTCCTACTCCACAGAGCATTCATAAATTTTGTATCCAAAGCTAACAATATGCATTTCTGAACTGGAACTACAGATTAGTAACACTTGTGTAAGTAAACAAAAATATTTAGAACTTTCCACTTAAAGATTTCCTCCAAATTTTATTCAGGGATCATTTGCTTTTCATGATTTCCATTTTATAGATCAGTGCTTCTTTAACATGTTGGGAGTAGACGATGGGGAAGACTAACTTGCTTTTCCCTTTACTTTGTTTTGCTGTCCACACAGGCTCAGTTCCAAAGCGGCTGTTGTTTACCCTACTTGTTGCAGACAAGCACATACTTCTACAATATTATGGAATCAGGTTGCTTCCATAATATTCAGCTTTATTGGATTGTTTACTACTACTACAAATACCCTATGCAGAGGTGTTAAACTTGTGGTGTGCAGATGTTTTGGCATCCAACTCCCCAAAGCCCTAGCCAGCTGCCCAATGGCCAGGAATTCTGGGAAGTGAAGGGTTACAAGTTTGACACCACTGCCCTCTGACAACATGGTATCAAAAGCCTGTGTTTCTCCAGTCCACCATCTTCCAAATGGAAGAGATGAAACCTTGAGGGCAAGGGGGGAAATAGGGAGAGTAGGGGTATAAAAAGACTTTGCAAAAAGGAGCTTCTTTGTCAGAGGTTTGATTAACTGAGGCATGCCTGATTGCAATGGCCTGGAGAGATACATATTCAGAAGCCTTTGCCCTCATAAATAAGCCAATGGAAGTTACTATGCAGAGATAAATTTTACTTGCTAGAAGCTGACATGACAGGAACTGTGCTCTGGGCCCAGAAGTGAATGATTTCCTGTCTTCTATACTGGACATAGGCTTAAGGGAGCAGATCCCACTTGTCTAATTTGTTCAGCATAATGTGCATAAGCTATTGCACCTATTCAATTTCTAAACAATTTCAGAGGGAAAACATATTTCCTAAACCTTCAGGTTAGAAGAGCTGATAAGTGGGTCCACCCAAAGATATCCAATTATTGATGCAGGTCAAGACAAAACAAGATGTCAAAGAAAATAAAACCACCGAGGTTTGGAAGGTCACCAAGCAGAGCAGGAGAAATTCCCAAGGGAGTTTCCTAAATAGATCCATTCAGCGGTCCAAAACATTTATAGTATCTTAAAAGACACAAGAAGTGGCCTGGAGGAAGAGGTCAGAGGAAAGAAAAAGAAACTCTGCATTTTTATTAGTGACTTAATAAAGACCCACTACAAAGTACATAATAAATAAAAGGTAAAGGTTTTCCCTGACACTAAGTCTAGTTGTGTCTGACTCTGGGGGGTGGTGCTCACCTCCATTCCTAAGCCGAAGAGCTGGCATTGCCCATAGACACCTCCAAGGTCATGTGGCCAGCATGATTGCATGGAGTGCCGTTTCCTTCCTGCTGAAGCGGTACCTATTGATCTACTTACGATTGCATGTTTTCAAACTACTGGGTTGGCAGAAACTGGGGCTAACAGCAGGAGCTCACCCTGCTTCCTGGATTTGAACCGTCAACATTTCGGTCAGCAAGTTGAGCAGTTCTATCCACTGTGCCACCAGGGGGAGATATATATATATATTGCATATAATAAATACATGTAAATACAAATAAATACATGAATTTGGAACATATATATTGCAATTATTATTATTATTATTATTATTATTATTATTATCTGCATTTCTATACTGCTTTTCTCACCTCTGGGGGGACTCAAAGTGGTTTACAACATAATAAATGGCAAATTCAATGCCTCATATATATATATATATATATATATATATATATATATATATATACACACACACACACACACAGAGAGAGAGAGGGAGAGAGAGAATATTACATATCTAAATCAATAACATATAACTGTAAATTAAAATCATTAAAACTATAAAAATGTCAAACATAGGCATAAGCATTAAACATATTATTGCTGCAATTAACAACGTAGACCCCTTCTCTTCCCCCCCCCCCACTCCCCATCTCTCTCTCCATAGAATTTCAGCCCTTCTTTTTATACCTCCCTGCTCACCACCCCATCCCACAAGAAGCTGACCTATATCTTAGAAACTGCCCACAAATCTAATCATTAAATTTTATTTATATTTCATGTACACTTTATGCACATATCCTGCCAGTAATTTTATTCCATTTTTAAATAACTTTGCGCATAAAACAAAGTTTGTGTACACTGAGCCATCCCAAAATGAAACTCTATCCAGTCTACCCAAATGAATGATTTTGTGGGTGCATCAACACTATAGAACAGGCCTGGGCCAACTTGGGGCCTCCCTCCAAGTATTTTGGACTTTTTATGTATGTATTTATTTATTTACGACATTTATATGCTGCCCTTCTCACCCCGATGGGGACACAGAGTGGCTTACACGATATATATACATACAATATATTATATTATTATATGGGAAGAGGCTCCTGGGAATGGAGGACGAGAGTATAACAAAGCAATGCATGATGGAGCAGTATAAGCAGGGAGGATGGGCACAATACTGGCAAGCCTTGCTCCTTCAGTACTTTGATGGGTCAACAAATACCCTAATGCATCTGGACAAGAAGGCGATTAGAGACAAAATCTTTGAGAGGGATGCAGCTGACAACTTGCAGATTAGCAAACTGCAAGGTTTCTCTACCTGGTATCCTCGGCTAAAAAGTGACCAATATCGTCAACAATATCTTCAAGACCTAACGTCAGCGGTCCTGAGGAAAGCATTTACAGCCCTGCGATTCCAAACAATGCCATCAAACTGGCTAGAGGGAAGATACAGAGGGATCCCCCATGCCCAACGACTCTGCATTTGTGGCACAGGGGAAATAGAAGACCTAACACACTATTTGCTACACTGCCCCTTGTACAATGACCCTAGGAAAAATCTCCTAGGATCACTCTTGGAAGAAAGGGCATCATGGCAACAATCTGCGGTGATCTGCGACTTGCTAGCAGATCATTCTAAAAATATAACACTAAAGGTTGCCACATTCGCAATCGCAGCCCAAAAGATCAGAGCCAAAGTAGCAAAATCCATACTGGGGGTCAGAAATGGAAACGGTTTGGAATGACACAAAGCAGACACTGTTATTGTCATATTTCTGCTTTCATAATTTTAAAGAACTTGTTTTAGTTTTAATTCTTGTTACGTTTTAAGGTTTATATTGGAAAGTGTTTATAAAGTTAGTATATTACTGATGTCATGGCCTATGGCTAGTACAATAAACCATTCATTCATTATATTATTAGCATAGTACAATATCAGTATTAAATATTACTATATTGTACGATACCATTATGTTGTAATATTATTAGTTATATTACACATCATATTTATTATTTATTTATTTACGGCGCTTATATGCCGCCCTTCTCACCCCGAAGGGGACTCAGAGCGGTTTACAATATATATTTTCATACAATATATTATATTATTAGCATAGTACAATATCAGTATATATTACTATATTGCACTATACCATTATATTGTAATATTATTAGTAATATTACATGTATAAATATATAATTATAATTATAATATTGAATTATTATTACTAGTATTATACTGTATTACATTATAATATTATAAATATTATATGTATATACAATATACTATATTATATTATTAGTAAAGACAAGATGGAAATGTCTTCTGCTCCCCTGTGTCTTCTATCTGGCCAGAGCAGCCGTTGGTGCCAGAAGGGGGAGGGGCCTCTCAAGTGATGATATAGGCAGAAGACAAGATGGCAGTGTCTTCTGCTCCCTTCTGTCTTCTCTCTGGCCAGAGCAGCTGTTGGTACCAGAAGGGGGAGGGGCTTCTCAAGTGATGATATAAATATATAATTATAATATAAATATATAATTATAATATAAATATATAATTATAATATATTAGTATTATGTTGCATTACATTATATTATAAATATTATATGTATATACAATATATTACATTACATTATTAGCATAGCATAGGAGACAAGGTGGAACTGTCCCCTGGCCCCCTCTCTCTTCACTCTGGCCCAGAGCGGCAGTTGGTGCTGGCAGTTGGTATATTGAGGTATACTTAGGTGATCCCTCGTTGGACGAGTTGGATAGTCCTCCATGATCAGTATTCTTATGGATCCGTAGGTGGCTGTGGAGCCCTATTCTTGACCTGCATCTTCTCCCACAGTGAGGGCATTGTTTTCCAGGTGGAAGGCAGTCTCGGTCGGGGTTGGCTTGACGCGCCTTCCTCCTGGCACATTTCTCCCTTTCACCCTCCATTTGTGCCTCTTCAAATTCTGCAGCACTGCTGGTCACAGCTGACTTCCAGCTGGAGCGCTCAAGGGCTAGGGCTTCCCAGTTCTCAGTATCTATGCCAAAGATTTTAAAGTTCGCTTATATGTAAGCCAAGCCAAAGCCAATCCCCAGCTGAACAGACTGTGCATAGTAGGTATGGATAGCCCTCCGGGTGTTTTGGACTTCAACTCCCACCATTCCTAACAGCCTCAGGCCCTTTCCTTCCCCCTCTCAGCCGCTTAAGCGACCTGAGGCTGTTAGAAATGGTGGGAGTTGAAGTCCAAAACATCTGGAGGGCCCAAGATTACCTATAGCTGCTATGCACAGTCGGTTCAACAAGAGCCATAAGCTTAATACTGTCGCTAGCCACAGAATCGCTACAAAAGGAAAAGGAAAGGGCTTGAGGCTGTTAGGAATGGTGGAAGGAGGGCCCAAGTTGGCCCAGGCCTGCTTTAGGATGTCTGCATGAGCGATACTCAACTTTGATTATCTAGGCAACTTGGCCACGCCCCCTCCTCTGGCGCACGCGCAGAACACGCCGGCGAGCGAGAACGCAAGCAAGCAATGAGGCCGGGGCGCGCGCGGGGGCCGTCCGTTACCTTCCCAGATGGTGTCTCCCGTCTCGCGCCGCCTGAGGAACTTGTACCAGAAGGTGGTTCCGGCCCCCTCCTCCTCCTCCTCGGGCAGCGCCACCTCGGCCAGCCACAGGACGGGTTCCTGGGCCGGCAGGGGCGCCAGCGGCCGCGCGGGCTTCATGGCCAGGGCTTGCTTGGGCTCCCACTGGCCCAGCTCCGGGCGGGAACCCGACACGCAGAGCGCCGTCCCGCCGTCGGCCAGCCGGGCGGGCACGATCACCCCGAAACGGAATAGCATCTCGGCGGGAGCCGGGCCGCTATTAGAAACTAGGGAGTTGGGGAGGGAGAGGGAGCACGGCTGAGCTTCCCCTCACGGCCGCTAGGGGCGAAAGGCAGGGGCGCAATTGCCAGCCATGTCCTAATAGGGACTGGTAGCGAAAGGGAGAGGTCACGTGACCTGCGCATGCGAAGGGAGCCTCCCAAGTTTGGGGTTGTTTTTTTTTTTGCGACTTCAGCTCCCAGGATCCTTTGCCATTGTTCCAATCAGCCGAGGCTTCTGGGAGTGGAAGTCCAACGCACTAGAATGTGGGAAGCGCTGAGTCAGCGATTACCAAGTTTCGCGTGATTCCTGTCTGGTACTTCATAGGGTAATAGTATATAGTATCAATTGGGGACCCCTCTCCCCAGCACCAACTGCTGCTCTGGGCCAGAGTGGAGAGAGAGGGGGACAGGAGACAGTTTCGCCTTGTCTCCTGTGCTATTCTAATAATACAGTATAATGTAATATAATATATTGTATATACATACAATAATTATATTATAATGTAATGCAATATAATACTGATATATTATAATTATATATTTATATTACATGTAATATTACTAATATTACAATATAATGGTATAGTACAACATAGCAATATTTAATACTGATATTGTACTATGCCAATATAATATATTGTATATATATATATATCTTGTAAGCCGCTCGGAGTCCTCTTCGGGGTGAGAAGAGCGGCATATAAATGTTGTAAATAAATAAATAAATAGCTGGGTCCGGAAGCTAGAAGCGTTATGCTGTTTCCGCTTCACTCCTTTGGGAGTGCTGTTTGCACAGCGTAATATTATAGAAGGAATATAAGAGTTCTTTAATGGTAAAACCCTTACCCGAACCCTAAACCTTACCCTACCTCTAAGCCTAAGCCCAGACCCTAAAGCTTACCCTACCTTGCCCTAAGCCTTACCCTAACCCTAAACCTTATCCTAACCCCCCCTTCCTTTCTATCTTTCTGCCCTCCCTTTCCTTTTTAAATTTTTTTTTAAAATCATCTTTATTATCCCCCCCTTCCTTTCTATCTTTCTGCCCTCCCTTTCCTTATTCACAATCGCTGTTGCAGAATGTGCATAACGCTTGGAGCTTCCGGACCCAGCTATCATACTATCACCCTTCATAGAATCCTTGAAACATTTTATGGAACCGAAGAACAAAAAACCCGAAGGAACAGCTGCTCTTAGGGCCCTTCCATACAGCCCTATATCCCAGAATATCAAGGCTGGAAACTCACATTATCCAAGGGTTTTTTTTGTCGTGTCAGGAGCGACTTGAGAAACTGCAGGTCGCTTCTGCTGTGAGAGAATTGGCCGTCTGTAAGGACATTGCCCAGGGGACGCCCGGATGATTTGATGTTTTTATCATCCTTGTGGGAGGCTTCTCTCATGCCCCTGTATGAGGAGCTGGAGCTGATAGAGGGAGCTCATCCACCTCTCCCGGGATTCCAACCTGCATCCTGTCGGTCTTAAGTCCTGCTGGCACAGGGGTTTAATCCCCTGTGCCACCGGGGGCTCCTAGTGTGGACTCAGATAACTCAGTCCAAAGCAGATATTGTGGGATTTTCTGCCTTAATGTTCTGGGCTATAGGACCGTGTGGAAGGGCCCTCAGTACTGCATAAGGTGTCTATGGGCCCTTCCACACAGCCCTATATCCCAGAATATCTGCTTTGAACTGGGGTGTGTGGAAGGGCCCTTAGATTGTCAAAAAGATCCAGGGCAAATCAATCCAGATTCAAAGTGTTGTCGAAGGCTTTCATGGCCGGGATCACTACGTTACTGTGAGCTTTCCAGGCTGTATAGTCATGTTCCGTAAGCATTCATCCCTGATGTTTCACCCACATCTATGGCAGGCATCCTCAGAGGTCTGTTGGAGACTAGGCAAGTGAAGTTTATATATCTGTGGAATGTGCAGGGTGGGAGAAAGAACTCTTGTCTGCTTGAGGCAAGTGTGAATGTTGCAGATGGCCACCTTGATTAGCATTTAATGGCCTTGCAGCAACATAGGGACCACCAAATGCAGCACTGCCCAAACATGATTCAAGGAACATAAAGGCACTGGAGACTCATTCACAGTAGTCAGCCATAGCAGAGCACCTGACGAACCAACCTGGACACAGCATATTCTTTGATAACACAGAAATGCTGGACCACTCTAACAACCACCATGTCAGACTACACAGAGAATCCACAAGCATGTGGACAATTTGAACAGAAAGGATAAAGTCACCTGTGGGCTGAGAGGGAAGGTATATAAATATAGTAAATCAATATAGTAAATAAATAAACCATGAAAACGAACAAAATCTGGCTACCAAATGTTTAAAAAACAATAAAATCAGGACAGTAAATAAAGAGCAACACTCAAAAAGCAGGGGAATTCCAGGCAAGAATAAATCAGGGCCAGCTAACTGCTCCCAACAAAGGATTCCCCCAGGCAGCAACCAGCCAGCCTTTGAAGCTACAAGGTCATTAAATGCTAATTAAGGTAGCCATTTGCAACATTCACACTTGCCTCAAGCAGACAAGAGTTCTTTCTCCCACGTAGACATTCCACAGATATATAAACCCCACTTGCCTTGTTTCCAACAGACCCCTCAACCTCTGAGGATGCTTGCCATAGATGTGGGCAACTTCAGGAGAGAATGCTTCTAAAACATGGCCATACAGTCCAGAAAACTCACAGCAACCCAAACCAGATTCCTTTGGAGTCCTGCCTTCTGTTCATAACAGCTGCCTTTTTGGGAGTGCAACTGCTCCTTTGTAGATCCTAGTAACGGGCTGCTCTACCCTTTTCTCAAAAGGGAAAGAGATCCCATTAAAGCTTAAAAACAGGGCCTTTCCTATATAGTTGAAGAGTCCCTTTGGTCATTTCCCAGTTGTGACAGACAGTTTCCTTTCACTTGTCACCTGACAACGAAATGAAATATGAAACTACCAGATCTAACTTCCACTTACCAATCACAGACATTTCAATTTTGTTTGCTTTAATTTTGTTCCAAGCTGCCCCAAGACAGCTTGGAACAGAAATGAAAACTTATTGTTTCTCCATATTTAACTTCATAAAGTGCTGGTTGTAAAGGAGTGTAAAGAGTTGGATCAAGTCCCACTTTTGGGAAAGGGGCATGTTACGAAGAAATAATAGTCAGAATGTATGAACAACGTTCACATGGTGAGGAAAAAAGTTCAACAAAAAGATCCAGAGCTGGTGCCTTGCAGTGATATACAATGCGCTACACCATCTTGCAGAATCAATCATATATACTATTGGGCTTTTTCAAAATTTGTTGTGGATTCAATTGGCATTACAGTTTGATGTAGGCAAGACACTCAACACTATGAAGGTGTCATGTTTTCACTGTGATATGCCTAAACAAGCTATGGTGCAATCTCCTGCCTGCAGCGTCATTCCATGGCCTCAGATTAAATGCACCTGTTTTCTGGAAAGCCTCGGCTTGACAGAAAGCAGATAGTATTATAAACAAGTGGTGTCACAAAGCCCATGGGGCTCTCCAAATAAGTGTGGGATAAAGTCGTGCAAAAGCCACCTCCCTCAACACACAAGGTTTCAACATCCTCCAGACTGGCCATAAAATGGAAATAATCTAGTTGAATTATGACTACCTAGGGATAGCTCCTGTCAAAATTCAATGATCAAGGTGAGGACATTAATCAGAAACAATAAAGATGCTAATGATTACTCTGAAGGGGGCTTCAGGCTTCAGCTTTTTTTTGGGGGGGGGGGCATATCACCATATGCTCCACAATGCTGGCCTTTATGAAAGAGTAGTAAGAAATCAATTGCTGCAATAAACACACACACAGGTTACTAGTCAGATCGGATCATAATTTTTAGTCTTGCTGCAAAACATTGTGGGACAAAGCAGAGTGCATGTTGACCTGAGAACACTTGATCCCCAGAATGATGCAGAATAGTGATAGTATCAAATTGTGGGGATGCTTTTATTGCTGGTCATCACTAAAATGGTCAAGATTGAAAACTAGATGGATGGAGTCAAATACAGGGTAATTCTATAGTAAAAGATATTTCATTTTGTAAGGAGTAAAGCACTTTACACATTAACAAAGTAACACAAGATTGGTTTAGAAACAGGATCTGTACAATGCCCTAATCTGGCATGACACCAAAAGTGGGTATTTGCCACTAGTCCCCATCCAACATGACAGAGGTGATCCAATGGTGACAAAAATGGGCAAAAACTACAGGATTCAGATGTGTGAAGCTGACAGGGACTTACTTAAGATGGTATTTTTACCTTGTCAGTGCTGTTCAAAGGTGTTATCCTATGCATCAACTCATTAATGCATGCATCCAACAAAATGCCAGTTTGTTTTTCTTCCCTTAACTTTCAAGGCAGAATAAGTGCATTTTGCAGCTTTGTTGAATATCTTGTGTGCGTCAAGTGATACTTCTTCCCTGTTGAAATTATTCATTCATTTTGGCTGAACTTTTCAATCTGTTACGGTCATTTTGAATCCTTAGACTGTATCCTCCAGAGTGTTGGTACCCCTCCTAGTTTGGTGTCATCTGCAAATAATTATGTTGTTTATCCTGTCAATTACATTGTTATCAAGATGTTGAACCACAATGGTTTTAAAAGAGATTGCTATGATATCCTGCTAGTCCCTCTTTCCAGAATAAAGAGGAATCACTGGTGAATATTCTTGTGTGTTCAATTGGGAAACCAGTGAAAAAAACCACTGTCTTGCCTATATTTAACAAGCTTATCTGCAAGAATATAACAAGGTTGTGTTTTCAAAAATCTGACTGAAATCAAGGTATGTTACTAAAGTATGGCTCTGATCTACAAAATTAGTTATCAAAAAAGAGGTGTATAAAACAATTACAGGCTTCTTTTGTAGTGAATATTCTCCTTCATCTATGTATTTTTCTCTTCACTTACTGGTAATGTCTTTCCCAAAATCCTGAGGAGAAAGGTCTTTTTCTGTCATCTAAGAATTCATTAGATATAAAATGCTTTCTAAATGGTTGATAGTAATTTCTAGAAACACTGCCACAACTGAAGGTATGTATGAGAATTAACTTTTAGATATTCAGACAGAATGGTGGATAGTAGGCCTGGGTAACAACGGAAAAATTTGTTTCTAAAATCGATTCGTTTTTTGGGGGTTTTTGCGTTTCGATATTTAAAAGAATTCCGAAATTTTTCTTTTAAAAAGTTCGATATTTACGAAATTTCGTAAATGTTAAAAAAATTACAAAACATTAACGAAACAAATACGAAACAATAACAAATTGATTTGTTAATGGCGGACACAACCACGCAATACGCTAAAAAACCTCCAAATGGGACAGGGGGAACTTCTGAAGCTTCCCTCTCCCTCTGTTGTTGACTGTTGGTGTGAGATTATAATTTTTTTTCACTAATTAAACAAAAAACAACTATAAAACTTGCCCCAGACATGCGGAAATAACAAAACGACCTCAAACCGATAACAAAATGAATACATAACGAATCCGAAGCATTTACGAAACGAATTTAAAAATTCGTTTCGTTTTTAAGTTGCTCCAGAATGGTTCGTTATCGCTTCGTTATTAAAAAAAAATAATAACGAATTTTTAATGAATTACGAATTAACGAAGCAAAACCGCCCAGCCCTAGTGGATAGATGTACAGTTAGCCCTCCACATTTTCTGTAGGGGCAGAATAGCACTGTTAAAGTGAAAAAACGTAAATAAAAACAAATGCTATTTTTCTTTACCTGAGGATACACTGCTCTAGGAATCTTAGTTCTCCAGCATGACTCTGCTAGAAAATGACTATACAGTCGCACTGGAGGACCTAGTGATTCCTTGAGAGACTATTCTAATCAAATTCACAAAAAATCAAATTTGTAAAAGTTAAACCCACAAATGTGGAAGGTCGACTGTGATAGCTACCAGAAGATGATTTCATAATACTAAAAGGCAGACAAAAATGTTAAACAGTTCAAATTACCAACAAATAATACCCCCAAAATATAAGTTAGTCTTCAAGTGTCAAAATTGTTCATGTGAAGTACACTGAAGAAAGATAAAATCTTGCTATAGGTTCTAAAAACCATAGTGACATTCATTCACTGCTGTAAACATATTTCAGCTTACTAAGCAGAATCAAGAAAAACCCAGATCACTTAGACCAGGGCAAGAATAATGTTACCCCTTCAGATCAACTGCAATACCACAGCAGTACCAATGGTGAAGAACACTGGGAGTTGCAGACCCATAACATCAGGGAATAATGATTCCCAAGTCTGATTTTGCTTACTGACAAGGAAAAACATATACTAAATAAAAATGGCAAATGTGTTTTATTATGATTAACCGATATTGCAAAATAGCATTCACTGAAAACATTGAAACAAGGTAGTGTATTGGTTAGAGAAAGAAATTGCTGTGAATATGAAAGAAAGGCAATGCAAATGGAAAAATTATCGTGAGAGACCCAAAGGCAAGATATAGTACAGGAAAGAGGTCAAGTATTGAAAAATACTGTGTTTTTTTAAAATAAAAAACCTAACAAACAAACCCTGCATAGCAGTATAAAATACTGGTACTGTAGATTTATGTTGTTTTCCTGTACGTAAGAATATACTGAACAGAATTTTTACAGCATTATTTTAATAGCTCTGGATTAACTTTTAAAAAACACAGTATCTAGATTTAAAAGTAAAAGTGCATGTAGTGTTGAGAAAGAAGTGTTCAAAATGCTTAATATGGTAGAAAAACAAACCAATTGCTCACCCCAGGTGCAACTGGTTTTTGTTTGAAGCTAGAGCCATCTAGTGTAGAACTTCTTCAGCTGCAAAGTCTTTTTTAAGCAGTCAAGCTATATTTCTGCTGACTTCTGTTCAGCCACAAAATATGAATGTTTATAAGGTTTACATGGGGAAGGTATTTAGTGGCAAAACATTAGTGTAATAACTTGGTACATTTGGAATGAATCTTCTTAGTTATTTCAAATTGCAGTTCTCTCTCATTTTTCAGAGAAATGCAAATGCCCACACGCTGCTGAAAGAAGCACACACTACCTTTGGGGATTACATTTTTTCTGAGTGTAGAGATACCAGGGATCAAAGAAGGTTCAACGTATTATCAGGGCTTGTATAAAATGAGGTCTCTGTTCCCTCTTTTCCAAACCACTATACCTAAAGTCAGCATTGCGTAGAAAGATAGCACAGCTGAACCTTCTCTTCCCACTGCAGCCTGCTGCATCACCCAAAGTGGGAATCTGAAGGGTTCTCCAGCCTCCAGTGTCAGTTTTGGACAAACATGGGGTGACACGAGCAAGGCAGAATCACTTACTTCTAATTCCACTTGAACCTTCTTCTATGCCAACAGCAACCTGCCGCTGGCATAAAATCAGAAGTGTTTATCTATCAACAAAATTTGGCAGGACTGAAAGAAAAATTGCCTCTTCAAAGAGAAAGGCAGCTGATGAACAATTAAATGATCCCAAGATCCAGTATTATAAAAATCAGCTACACAGAGCTAATACCCACATTCCTTAATGGTCTTGTTAGTATATGGCACTAGAGAATGAGGCTGAGGTTGATTGGTTTGTTTAAGAAATGGGGCAGCCTAAGTAATGAAAAATATAATTATTTCCCAGGCTGGATTCTTATGTGCTGAGCATACAAACTTCTGTGTCAAGTATACCTGGGTTCATTACAAACATTACAAATGCAGCCATTGTGATTTTCCTTTTTTTCAAAGCTCTTCTTTAAAAATTGGAAACATACTATCTGTGGCACCAAGTTTGATGATCCAACAGTATCAAGAATGAAAGCCTTGTTGCTTTCCAGTATAGTTAAAGGCATTCTTGTAGTTACAGTAAACATTCAAAATAATGTCTTCACTATGGAAGACTATGGAAAATAATGGAGTTATGAAATGAATGTCTATGGGTTTAAGATATGCTTAATGCAATGAATGGGTTTCTCATCTTATAAAGATGGCACACTGGTACTTCTATCCTAAACACCTTGAAGTTCTGTTCAAATTTGCAAAGTGTGCTTAGAATCAGAGTCCTATACGATTTGAAACATTGAGGCCAAGCAGTACATAGGTAAACATTTTAAGAGTGAAGTGTATTCCATCAACATCATAAAACCCAAGCCCTTCATTATATGTAGTGACCTAAAATATGAATTCTGTGGAGCAAATTTACAGTAAATAAAGATTTTGTTAAAATCCTCCTTTTATCATCTAAATCAATTGAAGGTGGAACATCTCAACCCAAAATGCTAGACCAGGTGTGCACTAATAACTTGTTCTATTTGATGGCTAGTATCAGCAGACTGTATTGAGCATGAAGGGAAGGTATCACTGGGAAAAAAGCTGCTGCCTGACACCAATCTTATCTATTGAAAGATTTTGCCACTGACTTGAAAGATTTGTAGACTGCTATATATCACCACTAAAGAAAAAATCTTATATATTCTCCTCAACAAGAAACGGCATTAAATACAATTCAGTCAGCATAAATGAGCATGGCAGTCTTTACAAAATAAAGCAATAGTTCAAGATCGGTGCTGGTAAATGCTGACTAACCTTCGGAGTTTACTGTTATATTCTAATTTGTAAAGAGACCAAAGATAAATTATTTTGTCTGGTTCTTTTCTATACCATTCCAGGTCATCTCTTAATACACATACCTGTAGCAATCAGAAGTCAAACTATTAAAAAATGGACACTAATAGATCAGAGATATTTCCAGTGAAACGTTTACAGATAGTAGAAGTTATATAAAACTATCCTGTCCAAGAAGTTCCTTTTTTTCAGACATTAAGGCAACTTTCATTATTTCTAACCAGGCAATGTTATAAAAAATAAATGCCACTTCAAAACATTTATGTACATAATGACAAGAAATCATCTTTAGTAAATTAATAAAGTGTCACAAAATATTACAGAGGTTATATCAGGTGCTTGAGTGTGTATGTGTGCAACTGGAAGCAAGTTATTTGTGTCTAAAGTACAGGTTTCAAGACAGAACGCAATGATCGTCCTTCCTTTGTAAGCTCTCGCGTGACACACATACATGGCAGTGGCACAGCTTCCTCACGTCTCTCTACAGCATTGTAACTGCATTTCTTCAAATGGTCAGCCATGCTTACAAGGTCAGCAAACTTCCATTCGTTTACAGTACAAAAGGCTGTGCTGAATCGCCATACCTAGGAAATTAAAGATGACATTTAATACAGGTAACCAAAGTGTTTAGCTAAAGTAAGCAAACTTACAAAACTAAAGCCCAAGCAATCTTTTTTTTCTCTTAAGCCAGAAGAAATTTTGTCTTTCAGAATTTATCTAATATTTATTGTGGCCATATTTACATTTTACTTTTGAAGGAGACTGTTCATCTGAAATTTGTAGCTTAAGCTGACCTTGATTCTCCTTTCTTGGATCATAAAAACAGATTATGATAAATATCCATATACATTGTTTCTTGGACTGGGATGAAAGGAATAAATTAGTCCTCTGGAACCTGCATTCCAAGACTCTATTGTCTTGCTTGCTTGCCCTTCCACAATTTTACTTCTATTGTTTCTGTTTTAATGTGTACCACTCACTAATTGATAGAATCGTAGAGTTGGAAGAGACCTCGTGGGCCATCCAGTCCAACCCCCTGCCAAGAAGCAGGAAACTTGCATTCAAAGCACCCCCGACAGATGGCCATCCAGCCTCTGTTTAAATGCCTTCAAAGGAGTCTCCACCACACAGATATGATTTAACATTCCTGAATGGCTATTAGTTTCCAAAGTTTGTGCCTTCTTCTCTAGCAAACACTTTCAACCATCCATGTTTCATTTTCTACCTTTGTTTTTATCATTTTAAACAGAACTACCTTGCCTACTGCTGGGCATAAGGCAGGAAACACAGCTTAGGGGCAGGTGTGTCAGTCCTTTGAGAATACTTTATTGGGCCTTGGAACCTTCTTTTTCAAAAACCACTGATTTCATTATTAAGATGTTCATTCATGTTATTTACTTATTCACAAAGGTACTGAACTTCATCATTTTAAGAACAAAGTACATACACTGTATAAAGGTTTGTAGTATACTGTATAGAATTTTTCATATTCAAAGTCTAGAGGAAGACAACTATGAGACTTCAAGCTACAAGGTGAGGGAGAAGGAATCATGCAGGCCCTGCAAATGTTTAACTGTTATTCTCAGAGCAGTCAATGGCAAGGAGACGCAATATAAAATATCCTGATAGGCCAAAACATCTCTCATCCTTGCCCTAGATAAAAAATGTGAAAACTCCAAATAGCTAAAAAAGAATGTTTGTATCAAAAACAAGTATACAAACCTTTTCCTTTACTTGCCACGAAAAACTTCCATTTGGGTACATCTTCTTTTCCCACAGCAATACAACCATTCCCCGTGCTTGTAGTAAACTTCCGCATACATCCCTCATTAAGCGTGATACTCGTGAAAGTTGACACAAACTAAAGCCATCCAGAAAACCTGCAATGTGCTGCAGAACCTCAAAAGGAAGATTACTCAGATGATCACTACGTAGTCCTAGGCAGCATCTTTTATCAGGCTCTGTCAGCATAGTAGATATACAGGGCTGAACCCCAAATGATCGAAGATGTCGATCATGAATAACTTTAGCCCCTTGTGTTGAAGGACAAAATCTGCGCTGTGAATATGTACATCCATAGTAAGCCAGAGGACACCTCTGTTCCATCCAGCCATTGAGACCAGCATGAATATCACCATGTACATTCTTAAAATGTGAAGAAAATTCATTCCTTCTAAATAGCTGTCCACAAACAAATGTAAACATAGAACGCTTTGTTTGGTATCTAGCCACACATTCTAGTACCAGGTCTAGTCCAAGAGTCTGGAAAGGGCTTGGATTTGAGAGCTGTGGATTTGCATGATCACATGCAGAGGCTGAAGCTATTTCCCCCACCATTGTATTTGTGGCTAGAATTGCAGATGGCAGAGAAAACGTCTGAGTCCCAAAATCAACATGGTATCCATCAATAACACGACTATCCGATATTCCTCTCCCACCAGGAGAGTCTCCAAGGCAAAACAGTAATGCTGCTGTGATTAAATCTATTCCCTGAACACCCATAGGATCTTCTGTTATTTCCAAATCTGATGTGTCTACTGCTTTGTCTTCCTTTGGTACGGAAAAATAATGATTTGAAAGGAAATTATAGGAACGATGTGGAATTAATGAAAACACATCAATGTTTCTAAGCCTCTCTTGTTCTATTTGCCTCTGTAATAGTTCTCCACTACAGTCACGTGGCAAGTATATATGATTAACGGTGCCATTCGATAAAGTATGTAGAGGTATTTCTTCCCTAACTTGGGTTGCTACAGGAGTAGCGTTGCAAGAACTCAATGCTTCATCACAAGGAGATGCATTATATACACCATTTGTGATACTTGATTGGTCAGATTTACACACATCTAGTTCTTCACTTTGTGGTAATGTATTTCTGTCTGTACTGTCTACATGAAAGCCATTACATAAGGAGGTATTATCAAAGTTCATATTCAATGTATGTTGTTGCATGATATCATAACAAATGTCACTTGATCCATTTTTTTCCACGTGGGCATTCTGAGTCAAAGCATCCAGCTGTATGCCACCAACTGCTCCCATTTTGCCATCATCCAGACAATCATGTTGTACTTCACTATGCATATCTGCACTACAATTCGGTTCTATTGTTGGAAAGCTTTCACTTGCTTTGCATGGTGAAAGAGTAAGTTTTGAACCCAACATGTTAATGTCTCTAGTAGCAGTGTTAAGGATATCAAGAGCTGTAGCTAAACTCTTAGTCGTTTCCACAGTAGCCTGATAAAGTGCACCATAGGACTCTTCATCTACAGGTATCAAGTCATTAGAAAGTGTAGCATCTGGATCACTTGTAACAGAAGTCAGCTCCTTGGACTTTGATACTTCGTTGGGTATTTTTGATGTCATTGTTGCTACTCTGAGAGATTCTAGGAGCATTCGCTGGTCTTGAAGTGCAAGAGCCATATCTAACTGTTCAACTTCATCCACATCTTTACTGAGATTTTCGTAAGATTTTCGATCAGCATAACTAACAGGCCATCTATTCCACTCCATAGTGCAGCATACCACACTGGCAGGGCAAGTTTCTAGATGCTCAGCCATTTTGTTTCTCGCTATAATAAATGGACAGCCAAAGCCACTGTTTAGACAAGGCACTCTTTCAAGTGGACAAAGAAGGCGATGCTCTTCAGCTTTGCATGAATGAAATACTGCTCCACAAACCATAGAGCAACCAATTAAGTCACAGGAAACACCAGCCTCTGGCCTTATCATACAACGCCGACTAACACAGTTGACACAATGTAAATGTTGATGTTCTTCCATGGTGTCAGGTTCAACTCTAGGAAGAGGGTGAAAAGGGCATGTGAAACAAGATGTGAGCATTTTTTTTGTTAACAGCAAAACAAACTATTTCCTCTATTTGATTTATGTCTTACTTCTAATATCTTTGATATATAGCTTTCCCCTAATGAGAATACAATGAGGCAAAACTCAGAATTAGATATCAATAAGAGCACAACAGGCTGCACCATTGAAACCCAATAAATCAATGGAAATTATTAAATACAACTGAATTAATAGCAATTTAAAAACATATAAATATAAACTCATCTATAAAAAGGCCCTATCTCACCATCCAGCCAATCAACCAAAGAATGCATAAATCAAACAAGTGCTTTACCTGCCTGTGGAAGGACACAAAAGATTTTTTATTATTATTAAAGACACATACACACACAGGACTTGTCTATCTACCCTTCTTGTATATATGAAAATGGTTTTAACTATGAATATAATTGTTATAATTAGTTTTACACACACACACAAATAAATATTTTTATGTTTATATTCTACATTGACTTAAATAATTAATGAGTCATCTTAACTCCCAAGTACTTCAGAAAAGGTAAGATGCAAATAAATAAAACAAGAAGAGGATTTACACTTCCAAAAGGGACATCAAGAACACTGCTATTATTTAACCTGAACTCCAAAAATTATCTTCCTGGCAATGGATTAATTGGTTTCAGCATTTAAAAGGTCCTTGCAATTAGAAGAAAGGTTTTCCATTGAACACAACAATGAACACAGCAAGGGCAAGAGCCTGAGACATCACGAAAGTTGAACAATCAACAGGATATTGTGATTTGTTGTCCTGCCTGTGAGTTGCCTATGAAACCTCCAGACCTAATGACCTTGCTATCCTCAGCATAAGCTCCTCATAAGAATGCAGTGGCGCAATAGGGGCTGTGGTGTCCAATGGGTTAAACCCTTGCGCTGCTGAACTGCTGACCTGAAGTCTGCAGCAATTCAAAAACATGCAAATGTGAGTAAATAAGTACCACTTCAATGAGAAAGGGCAAAAAGATGCTCCAAGTAGTCATGCCAGCCACACAAGCAGGAGGTGTCTATGGATGCGGGCTCCTCGGCTTGCACACTGATATTGCAGAAAAGAAGTCAATTACTATTGTTGTGCACATTAAAATAACCATAGTTTCCAAGTTAGGAAAAGTAATAGTTCCATTATATTCTGTGCCAATCAGGCCTCATCTGGGTAATGTGTTCAGTCTGAGCTCATTTTATGAATGATATGGACAAATAAGGGCCGTACAGTGGCCCTTATTTCTCATGCCAGTAAGGTAATGCTCAAGATCCTGCAAGGAAGACTCCAGCAATACATGGAGTGAGAGTTGCCAGATGTAAAAGGCAGGGTTTAGAAAAGGCAGAGGAACGAGAGACCAAATTGCCAATATCCACTGGATAATGGAGAAAGGCAGGGAGTTTCAGAAAAACATCTATTTCTGTTTTATTGACGATCCTAAAGCCTTTGACTGTGTGGATCATAATAAATTGTGGCAAATTCTTGGTGGTATGGGCATACCAAATCACCTTGTCTCTCTCCTGAGGAATCTGTATAAGGACCAAGTAGCAACAGTAAGAACTGACCATGGAAAAACAGAATGGTTCAAGATTGGGAAAGGCGTACGGCAGGGTTGTATAGTCTCACCCAACCTATTCAACTTGCATGCAGAAAACATGTGATGTGCGGGGTTTGACGAATGCAAGGCTGGGGTGAACATTGCTGGAAGAAACATTAACAACCTTAGATATGCAAATGACACTACTTTGATGGCTAAAAGCGAGGAGGAGCTGAGGAGCCTTCTAATCAAGGTGAAAAAAGAAAGTGCAAAAGCTGGGTTGCAGTTAAACATTAAAAAACCCCAAGATTATGGCAACGAGAATTATTGACAACCGGGAAATAGAGAGAGAAAACGTGGAGGGAAGGATATTGGAGGCACAGATGAAATACTTTGGCCACATCATGAGAAGAAAGGAAAGCTTGGGGAAGACAATTATGCTGGGGAAAATGGAAGGAAAAAGGAAGAGGGGCCAACCAAGGGCAAGATGGATGGATGGATGGATGGATGGATGGATGGATGGATGGATGGATGGGATCCTTGAAGTGACTGGACTGACCTTGAAGGAGATGGGGGTGGTGACGGCCGACAAGGAGCTCTGGCGTGGGATGGTCCATGAGGTCACGAAGAGTCGGAAACAACTGAACGAATGAACAACAACAACAGCATGGACAAATTGGAGCTGGTTCAGAGGAGAACAAGGTCAATAACAGTTATTGAGAGCAAAACATGACAAGTAAAAGGAATTGGGCATTAGCCATGTGTGTGAAATTTGTTCCTACAGTTCCTACAGTTACTTTCATGTCTTCCGTTTCTTTGGAAGCACAAAATGGGAAGTCCCCTCCCCACACGAAAATCTGCTTGACATGAAAGTATGCTCTCGTGCACATCTGAACTTATTTCTTTGCCTTGGAAAGAGAGCACGTGTATGGCAGGGCATGCAGACAGGCGGGCCCAGAACTAGGTCTGCAGGCACACTCTGGGCCTGCCTGCACGCCACATCACACACACACTTTTGGAGAGTGTGGTGGGATGCGTATGGTGGGGAGTGCGTGTAGACAGGATAGCCTGAAGCTTGGTTGCAGGCACACTCCAGGCCTGCCTGCATGCCCTACCACACATGCACTCTCGGAGAGTGTGGTGAGGCGTGTGTGGCGAGACATGCAGGCAGAGAAGCCTGGAGCGCACCTGCAGCTGAGCGCCTCTTACTCTGGAGTAGAAACAGCAGATACCAGGTAAGAAGAACAAACTCTGGGAAAGGGAGCCAGTGGGTGGGAAGACCATGGTCCAATGTCCCCCCCCCCCAAAAAAAAAGAACCAAAAACAACCCTCGGGAGGCTTACAATAAATGGATCAGGGGCCCCAACAGAAGCCGAGACACAAAACGGGACAAGGTTTCTTCTCCTGAATGCAAATATCTATTGGGCATGTTCAGACTGAAAAGATGGGGTATCTTTCTCTCGATGTCTCCTGATTATGACCTAATTCAGTGATCTGAAATTCTGATCCTCCAGATGCCCTCACTACCTTGTTCAATGATCAGGAGTGTTCTGCAAAAATAAAAATCTATTTGGAAAACACACAGGAAGACAATAATGACTAGAAAAATAGAAGTGAAAAAGAATAATAAAGACAGGATTAAAGCGAGAAGTGGTGGGTATTCAACTGATCAAAAAGGTAGCAGAAAAGAATACTGTAGAATTTCTTTGCTCTTGATATAGGCAGAGAGAGTACGTTTGGTGGGCAGGAACAATATCCTGTACAATATCCCCCTGAAGACACAGGTTCGCAGTTTGGGTGTGATCCTGGACTCATCACTGAGCCTGGATCCCCAGGTTTCGGCGGTGACCAGGGGAGCATTCGCACAGTTAAAACTCGTGCGCCAACTGCGACCGTACCTTGGGAAGTCTGACTTGGCCACGGTAGTCCACGCTCTGGTTACATCCCGCCTTGACTACTGCAACGCTCTCTACGTGGGGTTGCCTTTGAAGACGGCTCGGAAGCTCCAACTAGTCCAACGGGCGGCAGCCATGGTACTAACAGGAGCGGGGCGCAGGGAGCATACAACTCCTCTGCTGTACCAGCTCCACTGGCTGCCGATTTGCTACCGGGCCCAATTCAAAGTGCTGGCGTTGGCCTTTAAAGCCCTAAACGGTTCTGGCCCAACATATCTATCCGAACGTATCTCGGCCTATCAGCCCACCAGGACCCTAAGATCTTCGGGGAGGCCCTGCTCTCTATCCCACCTGCTTCACAGGTGCGGCTGGTGGGAACGAGAGACAGAGCCTTTTCTGTGGTGGCCCCTCGGCTTTGGAATGCCCTCCCCATAGAGATAAGATCAGCTTCCTCGCTGATGGTATTTCGAAAAAGACTCAAGACATGGATGTTTGAACAAGCATTCGGCTAATCCGGTGCGATGAAGTTGATGATCAAGGACTGGCAATCATAGACGATGAAATTGGATTATGATTTTAGTTGAGAGATGCATTGGTCTGTATTGGTGGCCCGATACTGTGTATTGTATATGTGTTTTATGTTTTTAAATTGAATATTGTTGTTTTTAAGTGTTGTAAACCGCAATGAGTCGCCGTTTTAGGCTGAGATATTAGCGGTATACAAGCGTATTAATAAATAAATAATAAATAAGGAACATGAGATGATACAAGGAAACATCAAGTTTCCTACCCTAACTGTTCAGTTCTAGAGAATTCTGGAGTTCGTTTCTGCATCCATCAGTGAGACACAGGGACCACAAAGAAAAACACAGAAATCAACGCAGATTCCAGAGGCCTTTCACTGTATAGAAAGAATTAGCCCTACAAATATGTTGTACAATATCCATAATCTTTGACCCTTACGAATACTGGTTGAGTCTTTGGGTATCCCCTCAAATATCTGGGGACCGACTGTTACCAGCTTCTTAACCATGTTAGAATTTAATGGGTTTTTTTAAAAGTTACACTGGAATAAAACTGTTTAATCTCAAATTAAGGAAATTAATTCTCAGTATCAGATTAAGACAGAGCTTTTTTAAAGTCTTAATACTTACTTTCCTTCAGGCAAAATCAAAGCTGAACCAGTACAATTTCCATCTTCTGCTGACAGTGCAAACGTGGTGAAAGAAATATTGCTGTCTTCCAGAATCCTGCAGTACTTGTTATCAAGAAAAAAATAATTACTGGATTAATTCAAATAAACATACAAAAAAGTTTTAAAATTGTTTACTCCTATTCAACAACTTATTAAACTATTATGTATTTCAACATTATAATTACAGTGCAATTACAACATTACAATTTGCAAGCAAGGGAAACATTACTTATTTCCTCTTGCACCTTGCCTATAAGGCTAAAAGAGCACATCATTCTACCAAATTAAATGCATTGTAACACAAGTTTGTCAAAAACTGTACTTAAAAAAAAAAACCCAAATACGTACTTGGATGTATTCTCCCAAGTTTCTCAGAGTTTCTGAAACACAAAGGAAAGCTGGCATCAATTAAAAAAAAGATTACTTCCCAGAAAATCCCATATGGCACAAAAATAGTCTAATTCCACATTTTCAAGTTAATTTATCACATAAGGGCAAAATGGGACAAATAAACCATAACCTTTTTGTGATTACAAAACAGAGTACACTAGAGAAGAATTATATGGCCATTTAAATCATATTTAAAAGCTTCTGGCCACAATATGTGCACTAAAAGTATCAAAAACATTTCATAGATAAATTACAATTTTATAGATAACATTCAAACGTTAGCTTTGTTTCTGGGTGTATTTCACCTAATGGTTCCAAAAATGGCACCAGCTTCTCCCTATCAGATCTTGTTCAAAACGTAAGAACATATGCCATATGCCAATCTCTATCTGCTTGCCCACAGAATGCACGACAAGCATATATAAGAAACTACAGCTGCTGCAGTCAGCACCCCAAAGAACCCCAGGAACAGGCCTAAAAACCAAGACATCAAAATATTTTTTTCATTTGAATTATATATTCTAAAAATGAGAGGAAACATTGTTCCTCTGGATTGTTTAGAATCAGCATTTATCAATGCTTTCTTGGAACAAGCAGCTATGTTGTGTGCTTCTCGCAACAGAATTCAAGACATCCAGAGTTTTGGAGTCCAGATGACACCCAATTCTATTACTCCTTTCCACCTAATTCCAAAGAAGCGGTTCCTCTGCTAAATTGGTGCCTGGCAGCTGTAATGGATGAGAACAAACTGTATACAGAATCCAGACAATACAGGGGTGCTTCCATTCAGTTGAAAGACAGATCTGAGAATAGGGATTAAATTAACCCCTATTCTTAGATCTGTGTTAAATCGGGTCACTCTCTCCGTGAAAACTCAAGTTCGAAGCTTGGGGGTACTTCTGGATTTGGCTTTGAAGCTGGAGGCCCAGGTATCAGCAGGGCCGGGAGTGGTTTTGTAGTTAGAGCTAGTGCTCCAGCTGTTTCTGGAGAAATGGGATCTGCAAACAGTAGTACACAGCTTGGTTACATCCTGTTTGGATTAATGTAATGCACTCTATGTGGGCTGCCTTCAAAAAGTACTTAGAACCATCAGTTGTTCCAAAGAGTAGCAGCCAGGTTATTAACTGGGGGTAGCTACAGAACTCCTCTGTTGCTATCCGTTTCTGAGCATACTTCAAAGGGACTGGTTTCTCTGTACAATCCTGTAAGAACTTTATGAACATCTGGAGAGGGCCTTCTCTCTGTCCCATCTTCCACTTAAGCTCAAATAGTAGGAACAAGGGAAAGGGCCTTTTCGGTGTGCTGCTCCCATAATTCCTAGAGAGGCCAGGATTCACAGGCAGATGATAATGTATCTCTGCCATCATGTGTTTGTGGAATAATGTGATGCAGGCTACTGGGGATGTTGTGAGTTGGATTACGTGTACTTTTAAATGTATTTTAATGGGTTTTTTTACATTCATGACATGAAAGATTTAATAGTTATTGTTAATTTTGTATTTTAATGCATTTGCTCTGTTTTAATTGTTTTGTTTTGTGTCATGTCTGTTGTTGCTACCTTGTGCTCCTATATCAGAAGAAGCTGGGATAAAAATAAAATAAGTAAAATTATTTCATGCAGATACTTTAAAACATGGGTAATAGTGAAAACTATAGCTTCATGCTCTGAAAACTATAGTAGTAAAATCAGAGTGATTGCTATGCTGGAAATGAGAGTACCTGAAAAGAAGACTCACAAGTTGGGGCCCAGGCTGCTTGTGCTGAGCTACAATCTGCTTCCTCATAACAAATACAGTAGCATTAAGGCTTTCTACCAGATTTGGCACCCTTTGAGTGCACCGCTTTTGAGAGCTTAGCTGGGCAGCCTGGTTCCCCAGTTTCCTTGCCTTCATCTATGGGGTCTCTGGCTCCTGGATTTTTTGGAGCCAGCAGTCTACTGCAAAGAAGGTGAGCAAATGACAAGAAAGGACCCCTACTAGCAAGCTCAGGGATACTGGTCCTATGGAAATACAAACAATGCCACAATGCTAAAATGTTTCATTTATATAAACCATTTCAAATGTTCCAAGTAGCAATTTATCTCAGGCCAATATGACTCTCTCGTTATTGATGAGAAACCATTTCAAATGTTCCACATACCAATTTCTTTCAAGCCAGTGTGACTCTCACATTATACATGAGAAATAAAGGAAGCATTTTGAAGGCTACCTTATTGAGTCAGTGACCACAAACATCTCAAACAGCAGTAATTACAAGACAAATTGCTTCTGAATTTACCCAAACATATAATGAGCATTATCAGTCACACCTTCCTTTTCTTTATTGGATCTTCCTTATAATTGATAAATTGACTCACCAAATCAAGACCTTCCAACAGACAGCAGAGCAAAGGGATTTTTTGGTGAACTTTCCATTCCTGTTATGTGCAGATGAGGATAACCCATAGACAGTGCACTGGTAAAATATAGATTCAAATATAAAAACTGATCAAAACTCAGTGAGTACAAATATTAAATATCAGAAGCTTCTTGATATAATCCCTTTCCCATTTATGACTTGACTAATTTGTGTAAATGTCATCTTCAGTCAGTCTTATAATTAAACAATTTCATCAAAATAATACTATGCTTAATGAAATCCACCATCCCACATGTCACCCCCATCATTTCAGTCTCTCATTGTCTGAATTTACCTGCATATTATTGCTGGTATTGTGATTGTGTTTATTTTTCCCTGTAATGAAATCTATACCACAGACTCTCCATTAACCACCAGTTAAGAGGATTGGCAGATGTCAGATAAATGTAGTTTCTGTTTGCTTGAGTGTTACTATTGAAATTGCCATATTTCACCACATAATAGTTGCACTCCCTTCCCCTTTAAAAAGTGATTCTATTATGAGGGGAAATATGGGAGGTCTATGGATCGTCCCCCAACTGGCAGCTGAGGGAGACCCCATAGGTCTCATGCGCTGGTGCGCTTAGGCAAACAAAGGCTACAGGGCCTCCTTTGGGTTCCGGCAGCCAAGAAAGACTACCTAGTTCTGGCTAGCTGGGATGTGGGTATGTGAGCATTCACTTGCCCACGCACCTGCCAGAGAAAGTTGGGATCTTCAGGGGCTGTTCCAAGGGGCAGGCATGTGGGCGGGGTATGTGACTATTATGAGAGGAATACAAAACTAATAAAACTGGCACACCAAAAGAGGCATGCGATTATTACGTGATGGCAATTATTATGCGATGAAATACAGTAGGCCTAATTAATACTATACCCATACTATACCTTAAACCCCGTATTGACTTGATATTAATATTGAAATTTGGTCAGTAATTTAAATTCACATTACTGCTATATATATATATTGTTGTATCTCAGGCTAAAATTCACCTTGCTCTCTCTGACAAACCAGCCAAACTTATGAAGAAAGAAGTTTATTGTGAGGTTTCAAACAAATCAGAATATAAGCAGTAAAAAGTCAATAGTACAAGGTAAAAATCCAATAGATTCCCTTTGAGTCAAAGCAGGAACTTGAAGCAAGAAGCAGCATAAAATCCAGGAAATAGCATGAGGTTACATGAAGCAGGCTTTCTTTCTCAAGGTCCAAGGCCCAGAGCAGGAGACAACGCGAGCCATTTTTGCAACGTTGAAACTGACGCCGAATCAGTTCCCAGGCAGTTTACTTATAGGTAAAACATCAAAACATTGAACATTAAACAGACAGCTAACAAGCAGTTTTCCCACCAACGGATGGGCTCAAGACTTGGCCGCAATTCGTAAACTCCTTCTTAACACCTGCGGCACAGTCTGACCTTCACTAGCTGTTTTATCAGCCACATTCCGTTCCTGTGATAACAATGGTTTCTCTCTAGCTAAAAGACTGTGGCTGAGAAAACTGAGAAATCTGAAATCCCACACCTGCATCTGTATTCCCATTCCCATCATGCTGTTGCTGCTGAACCACAACACTTATATATATAATATTTTATGGGTTGCTTGAGAGTTCCAGCTGGTTGAGTTCCGGTTCGTGGGAGTCTACAGTAGAAAAACGAACGCAGAGTACCCTTTTCTTTTTACATAAATTTAGGTTTTTTATGCATATGGATGTATAATAAAGAAAGAAAGAAAACCATTATCTTATTTTTAATATGAATTCACACTGCCATGTACAGCGGATGGAACCATAAACAGCCTTGCAAATAAATTCGCCAAAGTTACTGCACAGAAAATCTTTGTACATGCCTTAGTTATATCTCATTTAGATAGCTATAACAGACTCTTATGTGGGGCTGTGTTTGAAGAGTGTTTGGAAATTTTGGCTGGTCAAAAGAATTGAGGTCAGATCGTTAACCAATGCTAGCTACAGGGAGTACATAACCTCCCTGTTGCAACAGCTTCACTGACTGCCAGTGTTATTACCAAGCACAATTCAAAGAGCTGGTGATGATCTATAAAGACCTATACAGTTCAGGTCCAGGCTATTTGTCAATGTTATCTCCCTGTACAAACATGTACAAGCCCAATGACTCCATGCCTGGAAAAGACAGAATAGCCTCCTTCCTGCTGTCCTTCCAGTAGCAGACTAAACCATGTTTAAGCAGTTTTTTAAAAAAAAAAAAAGAAAAAGAAAAACAAAGAAGAATGTTTTTAAAATCTGGCCAGGGGATGCTGTTTTATGTGGTTCAATTGGTTTTTAAATGGCTTTATTGGTTTAACTATGTATTTTTAAGCAGTCCCATATTTAATTCTATTTTAGTGTTTATATGTTCTAGGTTTTAATTTATACATTGTATTAAGTATTATTAGCTACTTTTAGTCCCTTTAAAAAAAGAGAAAAGGTGGGATAAAAATATACCAACAACATCTCACACAAATTCTTGTTTATTCAGACTGTCAGGTCACTGGGTTTTATAACCTTTGCATTTGGTTATAATATTAGAAAAAGACACTTACAAAGAAGTTCAATTTATATAAATAAAATGATTTTCAAGTAAAAGTGTTCAGTAATTAGGATCAAAGTACATTAAGTTGACAGAATACTATGTTGCTGACAACAGAATGCCTTCTTTTGTTGGTATTTCTCAATCCAATGCTGTATCATTCTTTTCATGAACGTAATATTTTAATTCCTAGTAATCCAAGCACTAAATCGGTTTGCATAGTCAGAAGTAGCAATCTTGTGGTTCAACTACAATGCATGTGACTGCAGATTACTACAAATCCTGTAAATTCTATTCAAATGTATTTTGAGCATTTCTATAGATCATGATTTGTGGAATTTTCTTTTCTTAAATTAGGAGTTTTAGTTTGTCAATTTCTGTCAAAATTAATCATATGCATCATTAATGAAAGTTCTCATATTCTGTCTCAAACTTCCCCCATTTTCTTATTTTGAACTCAAACAATTTACAGGAGGTGAGATGTGTGTCCTTTGTAGGAAGCAGTATTTCAAATCCAAACAAAAGTATTGTTTAAATTACACATGATGTGATTCTAAGATGCTGCCATCTCATGATCAGAAATGCAAGCAATACTCCATGTTCTCAGAATTACTCTGAGGCATGAAGTGGTGCCCCTCCCATTATGGTGACGTAAAAAAAACCATACACCATACAAGTAAACTGAAAATGGATAAGTATTATGCAAATCAATCAAAGGACAACTGGTAACTACATGACTAAAGAAATTCAAGAATAATAAGAATTTGTCATCCAAACTAGTACATTTAATTTAACATATCCTGGGGCTTTGGGTACACATGATTGTAGAATATATACATAGTGCATATTTTTCCTATTTCTATACAGACAAGCTTACATTAAAAAGAATTGCTTCTGACATTTACATTTGTTGTCATCCTTTACATCCAAAAATAACTTTTTGATTTCCAAACATACATGATTTCAAAGGGCTTCCCTCTTCCTTTGCTGGCAGCCAGCAGTGATTTCTAAAAACTTGCACTTTTGAGGGGATTGTTTTCTTTTTTCAGAAATAGTATCTTACTTTTCTCAAACAACAGTTAAAGTATATTCAAAAGTTTAAAATGTTATCTATCTACACATGCAAACACATATACATTTATATTTGCTTTAAGCTGCATCTTGTGCAATGACCATTAAAATATGGAATTGGAGCTACGGTCCAGCTTTAATACTATTAGTTATTATTATCCCTGCTTTTAGAAATATTTACTGAAACTAAATCTAAATAATAGTAATGAAACTTGATTTCTAGTCAGTATACTAAGAGAACAGCTTCTGATGTATATGCTCTTCACTAACAAACAAATAACCAGCTGCTCATTTGTGATTAGGCAATGTCAGCAAGTAAGTTCAGCTCATAGAAGATATTGAAGTGTGCATACTTGCCTGTTACCAACCAAGAAAACTAAAAATACACACAGTTCTGGTGAGATGTTCACTGTTCTCAGAAGGTACACACCACCTGATGTTATTGTACACACTAATCTGCTGACTAGAGTTGTCAAATTGTTTGGAAGGTTTGCTGCCACAACTAAAATTCCAACTGCAGCAAAGAACCCTATGACCAATGTTTGTGTGAACAACTAAGATCATAATAATGACTTGAAATAGAAAGCTCTCGGGATTCCAAGTGTAATCCAAATCCTTCTCAGCCGCTTGTGTATCCAGTTACTATAGCTACAGTTTTAAACTTTGAACAGTGGAATTATAACTTCAGTTCAGAAGATATTTAACCATTTTATATATTATGTTGCTTAAAGTAAGTACCATTTTTTTTACTATTTAGCTGAACTCAGACATTACACTAAACCAAGGTTTGAAGTAATGATTGCTGAATTCCTAATTTCTACTTCTCAACATAAAAGAGCAAACGGTGATTTTGAACCGCCATATTTGCTTTTTCATCAGCTTTCATGTTTTGAAGCAGAGCAATATTTAATTCTGTTTTTGTATATTTGGGCAGAGTGGTAAGATACAGCCAGTTCAAACTGGATGTATTCAACCAAACCCTGGCTTAATAAGCAAAGATATTCACAAATTTTGTCTACCTGCCTCCTCATATTTGCCCAGAACAAATGATCCATGTTGAGAGAAAGGCTAAAGTATAAATAAACTAAGCTAGCAAGCAGCACTTAATTGCCTTCCCACTGTCATCCAAGTCAATTATGAAGACTGCTAACTTTCAAAGGTTAGAAGTCAACTTTAAATCATTACTTCAAGCCTGGTTTATCAATATCTGCATCTCCCCCTTTTTTTTTTGAAGTTAAGGTGGACAACAAAAAAATTCCTCTAATTTGACTGTTGCTTCCACTAATTTAAGATAATGTTGCTATGTATCTATTTCACAAGATAACTCTTTACTACACCAAAAATGTGACTAATCGAGTAAGCATGTCACAGGAATGAACAAAATTAAAGTTACTGCTCTTTAAATAAAGATCTCCATGTCTGCAGATCCCTTATGCGTATTTTAATTAACCCACTGTTCACACAACAGCTTCATGCTTTTCTTTTCTTTTTGGGAGGGTGGGGGACAAGATGAACTGCTGTCAATCCTACTATTTTGCTGTCAGGAAGAAAGAAGGAAGCCTGCTAGCTTTTTTCAAGGTGATGAGAAGAGCAAGTGTCCTGTTGAAGTAGAGGAAGTTCATCTACTCTTATTTCTACAGGACAACAGGTGAAAAGGGGCAATATACAACACTATTTTCGCTTTACGCATGCATATAGTGTTCACTATTATCTGCAGTTTGATGTATCCCAGGGGTATAGGGATTGTACCACAGTCACTACCACTACTGTCAAGTTTTTCTAACACATGTGAAAATGGCATGTTTTTGGTTTTTTTTACAAAAAAAAATCAAGAATTTTGTGACCATCATGCCTTAGTTAGATGATCATCTGAGCAATATACTTCATTAACAGAGGTTAATGATGTAATTGTGTTTTTAGTAATTACTTCTTTAAGAGATAATTTGGTAACAGAGGCAGAATTACCATGCCAAGATGGGGATTCTTGTTGCGTGTCTTCAAGTTTATTTATTTATTTATTTATTTATTTACTTTATTTGTATACCAAAGTTTCTCAGCCCTTAGGCGATTCAACGCAGTTAACAACAACAGGAGCAAAAATTCAATGCTAGCATCATACAAACCATTTAAAAACAATTAACACAATAATATACTAAGTAATTACACATCAGTAAACAACTCATTAGCATCTCATAACTAGAATCATGATCCATCTCGTCATCCGTAGTTCCGTTTTCCTATATTCATTGCACTGCCTATCCAAACGCCTGTTCAAATAACCAGGTTTTCACTTTTCTCCGAAATACCATTAATGAGGGAGCAGATCTAATGTCCGTAGGAAGGGCGTTCCACAGCCAAGGGGCCACCACTGAGAAGGCCCTGTCCCTCGTCCCCGCCAAACGTGCCTATGTTACAGGCGGGATCGAGAGCAGGGCCTCCCCAGAAGATCTTAAAGTCCTAGTGGGTTCGTAGGCGGAGATGCGTGCGGATAGGTAACTTGGGCCAGAACCGTTTAGGGTTTTATAGGCCAACGCCAGCACTTTGAATTGTGCCCGGTAGCAAATGGCGCAGCAGAGAAGTTGTATGCTCCCTGAGTGCCGCTCCTGTTAGTATCATGGCTGCCGAACGTTGAACCAATTGAAGCTTCCGAGCAGTCTTCAAAGGCAACCCCACGTAGAGAGTGTTGCAGTAGTCTAAACGGGATGTAACCAGAGCGTGAACTACTGTGGCCAAGTCAGACTTCCCAAGGTACGGGCGCAGCTGGCGCACAAGCTTTAACTGTGCAAATGCTCCCCTGGTCACCACCGAAACCTGGGGTTCCAGGCTCAGCAATGAGTCCAAGATCACATAGTGATGTTCTGATTTATGGCAGAAAGGGGGGTGGGTAGGCATAAAAAGACTTTGTCATAAGCTTTGTTAACCGATGAACGCAAGAATTAAAGTTTTTTATAAGAAGTGTCATATTTATATTGTTGCTCTTTTTAAAAACTATTTTAGATATTCTCAGAATTGCTGTCTTTTAAGTTTAATTGTAAAATATAACAACATGCCAACTTTCATGACACTGCTAATAAAAAAGATTGAAATGTATCTGTATATGTATAGTTAAAGCTCTAACATACAATTACACAAACCTTAAAACTCTCAAATGTAAGTAATAAAACCATACACAGATCACCTATTACTGAACCTTTCTATATATAGGATAATAATTCTTGTTTTGTTTCTCCATTTCAACTTCTAGGGAGATCTGTTACATTGAATTTCCCCCTAGAGTACAAACTTCCATATCAAATGTTTTGTCTCCAGGTTGTGTTTCAGAAATACAGACAGAATTCTTTAATGTTTTCTTTGCCATGACAAATTTATGTCATCCTCCAAAGTAATCTGATTTTCTAATATATTAATGTAGCAATGAACAAAATCCTTCTTAAGAGTATCATTGTAATATATTTGCAAAATATTAATCATCACTTTCTATACTTTTATAAACACTGTAACTCATTTGATACTGCAGATTATTACAGACGTTACTATTAGAAACAATAACATTTGGAAAGGATTCAGAAGCACTACCTGATGAGCATGCAGCACGGGAACAAAAGCAGACTTGCCAGATTTCACATGTAAAGCACTTCTGCATACAGCTCAGTGTTTTCTCCCTAGCAACGAACACTGTAAGAGGAAAAAGATACATTTTTAAAAATATATATATTCTCTTTAAGGGACCCAAAACTATCCCAGGATTTGGAGGCCATTCAACAATTGTATATGTGAAGCCAGGTACAGAAGAATACTCCCACCTTTGAAATAATCTGACAGTAGTAGAAGGAATAAGAAACTTTGCTTTTTATGAGTAATACAATTCTGGGTTGTATGTCTTTCATTTAATTTCAGGTACTTCTGTGCCATTACAGTGAAGTGATTTGAGAACTAGACTATAAACCCTGGCTCAGCCACAAAAATTTACAAGGTGACCTTGGGCAAATTACACAGTTTCAATCTCAGAAAAACCAAGGACAAACCCCTTCTGAACAAATCTTGCCAACATTGTGACAGCTTTGTCTCAGGGTTGTCAAAAGTTGGAAATAACTTGAAGGCAACTACAACAACAATTTTCTCTATAGAAAGTTTCATCTTCCCTCCTCCTAATTAATTTAATTTGTTTAATTCTGCTGGTGAAGTTAGCCTACAATTATGTGCCACAACTACAAACATCTCCAAACAAGAACTGTCTGAAACACAGGTTTCATAATAAGTCATGAGGCAAAACAAGCAGACATGGAGTACAAATATCTAGCAAGGCCCAGGAAGACCATTGAACATACTATATTGTGGAAAGGAAGTCTTCCTTCTTCCTTTCCATGCCCCTCTATACATAGTTGTGTTTACAAATAGTACAAACTGTCTATGTCCTAGTACAATTCTGTAACTGTAACAATAATCAACAATTGTATGGTAAGTATTGTTGCATAACTTGGCCAAAAGTGCCTTTACTAATGAAATGCCACTTCTAAATTGAGGTTCTGGGTTTGAGCCTGCCACTTTTGGAATCTCGCTTGCTGAGGTGTTCCAGCGAGTGTATCTGTAGATCTTAGAGAACTATTTCTTTATGTAAGTTGTTGGCATGTTGGCTGATATCCAAACAGGGGATGGGCCAGAGATGTCACTGCCTTGGTCCTTTCACTATTGGTTGCTACTCCCCAGCGGATGTCACGCTGTGCAATACCGGCTAAACAGTGTAATTTCTCCAGTGGTGTAGGGTGCAGACACGCCGTGATAATGCGGCATGACTCATTAAGAGCCACATCCACTGTTTTAGTATGGTGAGATGTGTTCCACACTGGACATGCATTCTCAGCAGCAGAGTAGCATAGCGCAAAGGCAGATGTCTTCACTGTATCTGGTTGTGATCCCCAGATTGTGCCAGTCAGCTTTCGTATGATATTGTTTCTATGTTTGCCATATACTCTGCAATCTGCAGAATATAAATTTTAAAATATCATATATATTATTAGGTCTGTGAAATATTTCCCAAATTGTCATAATAAAAGCTATGCTATCTATCAATCCAGTCAATGGTGTGGAACCATCCAACTATTAAATATTTCATTTTAAGCAGTGCATATGTATGTGTGTGTGTGTGTATCTTTACCATAGTGATGTTCAGAATTCTACAATAAAGAGTTTTGCTATATAGGAAACAAGAAATGCAAGATGGAGGCCCCAGAGATGATACTGCAGACATATGTTGCGTAACTGTTTTAAATTGTGTTGTTTACGGGTGGATTTTAATATAAATGTTCTTTTATTATTGATGTTTTAATTTGTATGCTTTATGTCTAAATGTCATTTTATGTTCTATGTTTTAATATGGTTAGGTTTTTAATTTATAGTTATATATTATTGTCTAGCTATCATGTTTTGGTTTTCACTTGTATGTATGACATTGAATTTTGCCTTTATTATGTTGAAAACCACTTTGAGTTCCTTCAGGGGAAAAAGGAGCATACAAACAAACAAACAAACAAACAAACAAACAAATAAATGGAACACACCAAATAATGTGAAAAGAAAATCAACCTATGCTTTATAGACTATAGCAAAGCCTCGACTATATAGATCATGGGAAACTATGGGTCACTCTGAAAGAAATAAGTGTGCTGCAACGTTTTGTTGCCTTGACACATAACCTAACCTGTAGTCATGATTAAGAAGCTACAGTTAGGACAGAATACAGAGAAATTGAATTATTTCCTATTGGATGGGGATCAGGGCAAGGCTGCTTATTATCACCCTGTTTAACTTATGTACTAAATATATACCTAAAGGAGGAGTAGACTTGAAGGAGGAAGGGATAAGTATTGGAAAAATCACAAATGTAACACACTATATTAATAGCAAAAAATATCAAAAATTTAGAACAATTGCTGAACAAAGTCAAGCAAGACAGTATAAAATTAATAATCACAGATGATTTGTTTACTTAAAATCAAATAATCAAACTCAAGAAATAATTCAAAATGTTCTATAATTTTGTTCAATTATTAATCAGTATGGAAACTGTTGTCAAAGACTTAAAAGGGAACCTATGAAAAAACTACACAGATCCAGAAGTGTAGAGATAAATCATGGAATATTAAAGTTAGGACTGACCATATTTCAGATTTCTATGTATGATTATGAAAGGTGGATAGTGAAGAAAGCTGAACAGAAAAAAAATCAACACATTTGAAATTTGGGGCTAGGGAAAAGTTCTAAGGATACAATGGTGTGCTAAAAAGATGAAAGGTAGGTTTTAATGTTGAATGTAAATTATGTTGCTTGTAATATTGTGAATCACTTTGAATTTCATTTAGAAGAGAAAAGAAGGGTATAAATATATATAAAAAATAAATAAATAAGTGGATTCCTAAAACTGAGGCTGTCATACTTTGACCATATCATAAGAATCACTTAGGAAAGCACAATACTGGAATAAAGTAGACAGCACTAAGAAAAGATGAAAACTGCATTCTAGAGGGATAGACTCAATCAAGAAAGCCGCACCTCTGAGTTTTCAGGACCTGAGTAGAGCTATTAATGATAGGGTGATTTGGAGCTATCTCGGCAATAGGGCTACTATAAGTCAAAGTTGACTTCATGTCATTTAATGAAAATATACCAAAATAAAATACTACATGCACACATTTTGACTATTATAGATATTTGAGACACGATGCACACTGTAGTTCTGTGTCATGCCACAAGCCTTCTAGTTGCCTTAACCCATGCATCTAATGAGGGCTACAATCAATGTCTAATCGCGCACAGGAAACAGGTTCACCTCAGGGGTTTTCCACTTAGTGGGCTAAATGCTATCTGAGGGAAAAGCAACTGAGTAATATGTGAATGACCTGTCTGAGTTTTATATGGATGTGGCTGCAATCCAGATATTGAGTACGCTAGACCACATTACTTATGACAACCTTTATTCTATTTGAATTAAAGTCAAATCACATTATATCATTACTTCTTGACCTAACATTTTTATATATCTCTAGTAGGGATTAAAAAATAAGACTTATATTTTACCTAAAACCTCCTTTGAAGTTATAATAGAGTATCCATAAACAAAAACAATCCACTGACCCCACTCTTCATTTTGAGGTCTGATACCAATAGCCTATCCCAATCAATACTATATCTTTTTACATCTAGCAATTACTTTAAATACAAAACTTTGGAGGATTAAACTAGGAAAATGTCTTGGTGTATAAACTTAAAGGTGAAATCAGGATGCTTACATAAATGGCTCTCTGAAAATGAACACTGAATGAGGTGTTTCTTGTTTATGTCACTTGTCACAGCCTTATTTCTGGGTCTCTAATAGAAGCTGTTTACTTTCCTTACTCTCTTCCTCCTTTTTTTCAGACTGCCTTCTAATTTTTTTGTCTTTGTTCATATTACTTTATCAATATTTATTCAGATATATACATGAAATAGGAGGAGCTAAAGAGAATAAGAACTAAGTATGTTCTATATACTTGATTATAACTCTAGCCACCCCAAAATTTAGCTTCACAGTAAGTCTAATCTCACATTGTTCCCCACCTTGCCCAAACTAGAGAAAGGTAGCTCTCCCTTCCTCTTCACTTTCTTATTTGGCCTGAACAACATCAGCAACATGGGGAAGCCTGAAGAATGTGACACACCTGCTATTTGGGCTACTTGAGGTGAAGCAGATCAAGCAGGCATTTTTAATAAGGTCTTGTCATATAAGCTCTGTGCTCCCTGCAATTTTGGGCACTTGAGATGCAATGCAGCCCAGAGAATTCCAAGTCATTATTAAAAATGGCTGCCACCACTTTGTCCCAACCTCAGGCATTCAAAATGGCTCATCACGGTCATCTGTTCCCAGAACTGGAGAAATCAACCTAGGATTTGGGGAGCAATTTTTGTATCAAAAAATGGACCTGTGCTGTATGCATATACAGGCAGTCTCCAGTTTACAAACAACTAACTTACAAATGACTCATAGTTAAGAATGGGGATGAGACAACAGCAAGTGAAAGAAATCTACCCCCTTGGATGGGAAATTTGCTCTTGAAAGCTATCATTGGGAAAGGTGTCTCAACTGAAGTTTTGCCGCCAAGCCTTGCTTCCACAACAAGACAATTTTATCAAAATCTAAGTATCTCAGGGACAGAAAGTGAGGTGAAATCTTCTGAACAGGAGCACAGACAACAAAACAAACACCACAGGGGCTTTAACCCTTCCATATGCTATCCAAAGATATATATGGATAGCTGGTGTTATACTTAAAAATGTACCTAACGTACATACAAATTCAAGAACAAAACCATGCAAGCTATCTTGTTTGTAACTTGGGGACTGCCTGTACTCAATGTTCTGACATCTGTGAAAAGAGAGAGATTTCTAAACTAGAGCTTTGAACAGAGGAATCAGCGACCTTCTACACAGCCCTTTATCCCAGAATATCAAGGCTGAAAATCCCACAATATCTGCTTTGAACAGGATTATCTGAGCCCACACTCAGATAATGTGGGATTTTCTGCCTTGATATTCTAGCATATAGGGCTATGTCGAAGGGCCCTCTGTGTGTTTACAGCTCATAATCTGACAGTGAAGGTATAAACAGAATATATTTTATTCTACAGCCTACTAACCCCAACATAATTTTATTCTATAGCCTACTACACCCAACAAATGTTCTCTCAGAACAGCCTCTTCATACAAATGAGTGAACCTAGGTAGCTGGCAATCGTGTAAGAATGTTTTTACACTGGATCTCACTTTTGAGAAAAGATTGGGATAAAAATTCTATATAATAAATAACACATAAATGCAACTGTAGTCATTTGTAGTATCTCTTGTAAAATCACAGCAAAGGTCAGAGATGTGTCCATTCAAAAGCTAAACAATTTAGACAGCTTTCCCATTTAACAGGTAAGTAATTTCTAAATTCTCTGTATGACGATATTTATTTGAAAAGGTGAATGAACATGTAGTCCCCTGCAATGTGAAGTGTTAAAACAGTGATAAAATATCTAGGTTGTGCATAATTAACATATTGCCCCATGACTAGTGAGCATGTGCCAAGTTTAGTAACCACGTTCAAGTAGAAAATACAATGAATGGATTAACATGCATGGCATGGAGAACTCTGGCACAAAATACATTGTTTCTATGGTTTATTAATCAATGTTGTTGTTTTTTTTAAAAAAACCAATAGGAATAGCTCTCATGAAATGTTGTTGGGGATTGAAGTGATTTGAAAATAGCTTGTATCTAGCAGGCACGTTTATATTGTTAATTGTTAACAAAATAAAGGCAAGCACTACATTCCACATACAGTTTTCAATGCTACAGAATTCCCGAGACTATGGGAAGAGCATGAAGATCACATTATGTATTCATAAATGAGAAATGTTCATCCATTAACTGAAACCTTCAATCCATTGACTAAGATAGGATGAAAAGTGTAAAGATTTGTTGCTAAAATTCTAAGGATTAAAATTCCAGCAATGAAGTAAGACAAATAGAATTAAAGATGGAAATGGTTAAATAAGAAATACTAAAATGATTTTGTTTACAAAAAGTATGTTGCTATTCTCCAATATTTTTGATATGTGAACTATTTTCAGAGACTTATTTTCAAATAGCAGTTGACAACCATGACTCAGCTAAAACAAGCTTTGCTACACAGACCATGCTGTTGAAAAAGATATTCAGGTTTGATAATGAATTGTTCTCCTGTTTTTTTTTAATGACCAAGTTTCAGTAACTCGCTCTACCTTTAATTCTATTTACATTACTTCAATGCCATAACTTTTCTTAAGAACTTCTGTAACAAAGATCTACACTGTAATTTTTCAGAAACAATATGAACACCAACTGTGTTCACATTAACTTATTCAAAATAAGCCTAGTGATCAATGATGGTTGGCCTTTCTGAAAACATCTTCACTATTTTCTTCATTTCTTTATTTTCTGGATAATCAGCTTTCAGATATTGCACAATGAAAAAGTACTTATCCCTTTCTAATAAACAAGGAACAGAATCTCTTTCATAACCTATGCTCATGCAAGGTGAGTGGGTTTAAACAAGTTATTTTAAAAGCCAAGCTGCTGCTTTCGATAGAACTCCCTTCTTCCTTAGAAAGTGATGACTTAAACAACAAACCTTCCCTCTTGCGCCCTCATGATAAATGTGGAAGAAGAGATGCCTCCTTTTAAGGCACAGACCTTCGTTCATAGGATAGCTTGGAGCTGATCATCTGGGGCAAAGAACCAGTATCATGCAAACATTTGTTCTTCCTACATACCCACATCAGGAAATCGGAAAACACCTAACAATGAGTCCATAGCACTCTTCAGCCTAGAAAAACACTCAATACTTGCCTTGAGATGGAATAGGATAGAGACACAAGGATCTACAAGTTTCATGAAAGCTCTTCATGAGACTGCTGGGAACTGAGGAACAGGTGGCTATGTTTCTGCACTTTATTATTTTTTGCCTTCAAGTCATTTCAGACCTAGACTGACTGTGTTACAGTGTTTTCAAGGGGTGGGGGTTAATCTTTGTTTTCCTGAGGCTGAGAGAGTGTGACTCACCTAAAATCACCCAATAGGTTTCATGGCCACCCTGAGTTGCCTTTGGGCTGATATGGGCGGGATACAAATGTTGTAAATAAGTAAATGGCCAAGCGGGGTTCCAAAACCTGGTCTCCGGAGTCCATATACTTTCAAATTAATGCAATTTGGTGCCACTTTAACTGCCATGACTCAATGCTATGGAATCAAGAGTTCTGAAGTTTTTTAAAACAATAAAGCCTTCCCTTCCAAACAGTACCGGTGCCTTGCCTGGCTACAACACCTGTGGCACTGAAACATGGAAGTCAAAGTGGTGCCAAACTGCATCAATTCTAGAGTAGCTCAGGCATGGGCAAACTTTGGCTTAAGCGGCTGAGGGGGAAAAGGAAGGGACCTGAGGCGATTAGGAATGGTGGGAGTTGAAGTCCAAAACAACTGGAGGGACCAAGTTTGCTCATGCCTGGTGGAGATCCTTCTTGATCCTGAACTTCCTATCCCTCTTGATGCATATGTATATATTTACGTATTAATGTGCGTATGTATGTGCATATGAAGGGACGAAGTTTGCCCATGCCTGGTGTAGATGCATCCCTTATTGTGCGGTTTTGTTTGTTTTTGGCAGGATTTGCTCACAGAAGGTTTGTGTGCTTTTGCCTCTCTACAAGGCTGAGAGAGTGTGGCTCATTTGAGTGCGTTTCCATGTTGTTGTTTGCCTCCATGTCGTTTCTAACCCATGGCGACCGTATCCCAGGATTGCCTTGGCGTGATTTGTTGGTGGGAGGGTAGCCTTTGCCTTCTTCTGAGGGTGAGAGAGCGTGACCCGCCGAAGGGGTCCCCAGAGTCACTGACACCACTGGTCTACACACTGCCCCTTAACAGGAGTAAATATGGGCAACTGCATCAGCTGAGGAGCTGAGGCTGCCATTGTTCCCATTCTGCAGGGCAGGGGGAAGAAGGGGGAACCCCAAGGGGCACGTACCTCTCTTGCTGCCCGCCACAGAAGCCACACAGTCGGCTAAAACCTCTCTCTCTCTGCCCAGGTCCCAAGTGGCGTCTCTTGCGCCACCTCACAAAGAGGCGCGCCAGCTGTCTGTCAGTCAGTCAGAGTCAGTCAGTCAGTTATGGCCGCCCTGCTCCTTCTGGGCCGGCCGCGAGCCTGAGCTAGGGCTACTGAAGGGGCAGCAGCCTCACCCCTCGGGCGGAGAAACAGCACCCACAAGAAGGCGCCGCCGCCATTTGTTGACTTCCGAGCCCACGGAGGGGACGAAGAAAGGAAGGAAGGAAGGAAGGCGCCTCCGTCCTCGCGCCGCGGCCCTCCCCCTCCGCACTCCGCACTCGCCGCCAGACTCTTCTGCTCCAAGTGCCTCTCTCTGGACGCGAAGGAAGAGGGCTGAGGGCCCTAGAGGCAGCCCCGCCCAGGCGCTCCAAGATTCGATCCGGTTCCGGTGAGGGAGGAGGAGAAGTGGGCGGGGACCTCGGGCCCGGCAACGACACTCGCGCTGCCTCGCCGCCTCGCTTTACGGCTCACCGTCGCGCTGCCTACAGGGCGGGGGGGGGGGGGGGGTGTGTGGAAGTGTCGCAAAGAAGAGAAAGGGGCAGCTTCGGCTTCCATGCCGCCGCTTCCTGGGATACGAAGAAGACGCCGCCGGACCGGGAAAGTATCCGGATGCGTCAGCCAAGGAGTGCACTTTGGCACCACTTTAGTTGCCCTGGCACACTACTGTGGGATCCCGGGAACGGCAAGAAACATAATGGATGAGGCTACAGTTCTGACTTGCAGTGGTTCTCAACCTATGGGTCCCCAGGTGTTTTGCCCTTCAATTCCTAGAAATCCTTAGAAAATGTTGACCATTTCCGCTACCTTGGCAGCCACCTCTCCACCAAAGTCAACATCGACACCGAAATACAACACCACCTGAGCTCTGCAAGTGCAGCATTTTTCCGAATGAAGCAGAGAGTGTTTGAGGACCGGGACATCCGTAGGGAGACTAAGGTGCTTGTTTATAAAGCTATTGTCCTCTAACCCTGCTATATGCCAGCAAAACATGGACTGTCTGCAGACGTCACATGCAACTCCTGGAACGATTCCATCAGCTGCCTCCGGAAAATCCTGTAAATTTCTTGGGAAGACAAGCGGACAAACCTCAGCATGCTGGAAGAAGCAAAGACCACCAGCATTGAAGTAAGGGTCCTCCGCCATCAATTCCGCTGGACCGACCGTGCTGTCCGGATGCCTGACCACCATCTCCCAAAGCAGTTGCTCTACTCCAAACTCAAGAACAGAAAATGGAATGTTGGTGGACAGGAAAAGAGATTTAAAGATGGGCTCAAAGCCAACCTTAAAAACTGGCATAGACACTGAGAACTGGGAAGCCCTGGCCCTTGAGCGCTCCAGCTAGAGGTCAGCTGTGATCAGCAGTGCTGCAGAATTTGAAGATTCACGAATAGAGGGCAAAAGAGAGAAACGTGCCAAGAGGAAGGCGCGTCAAGCCAACCCCGACCGAGACCGCCTTCCACTTGGAAACCAATGCCCTCACTACGGGAGAAGATGCAGGTCAAGAATAGGGCTCCACAGTCACCTATGGATCCACAAGTATACCAATCATGGAAGACTATCCTACTCGTCCAACGAGGGATCGCCTAAGAGAGGATGGGATTTTAAGGAATTGTAGGCCAAGTTGCCAATATCCTCTGGATAATGGAGAAAGGCAGGGAGTTTCAGAAAAACATCTATTTCTGCTTCATTGACTATTCTAAAGCCTTTGACTGTGTGGATCATAATAAATTGTGGCAAGTTCTTGGTGGTATGGGGATACCAAATCACCCTGTCTGTCTCCTGGGGAATCTGTATAAGGACCAAGTAGCAACAGTAAGAACTGACCATGGAAAAACAGACTGGTTCAAGATTGGGAAAGGTGTGCGGCAGGGTTGTATACTCTCACCCAACCTATTCAACTTGTATACAGATCACATCATGCGGCCTGCAGGGCTTGACGAATGTAACTAAACACGATGTCTATAATATGCAGTAGACAGGAAAGAGGGTGTATGGTATAGAGTAGTGTAATACTCATATAGGTATAACATAAATAATAATAGTCTAAGTATGATGTATAACATAAATAATAATAGTCTATTAATACTTAGACTATTATTATTTATGTTATACATCAGTTTGAGGTGTTCTTTTACATGTCTATTGTGTATATGGTATAATGTAATATACTAGCTAGTTCTTCTTTTATTTTTTATTTTGAATTTTACTAGAAAAAGATAAGAAGGCAGAGCCAAGTAAACAGGGAGATTACCTGAGGAAGTATCGAAACTGGCCTGTACCCGGGAAACCAGTTGTACTCACCCGGCACTACAGATTACTTGGCCGTCCCTGACATCTAGGAACAACAACAATAATAAAGGACTGAAACTACAATCTTGTGACAAAGGACTTACCCAAGAGTAAATCCACGTCAACTTCACTTGCATGAAGAATTTGAACATTTATATGTGCATTAATTTGTTTGTTGACTCCATGAAGACTTAGAACATATTCAAGACGGCAATAAGACTGTTTTTGAACTTTGTATTGCAGAACCTATACTACTACTATTGTACTGTTAGAATAAGGGTTACCTATATGTACAGCTTTATGTTAAGTATGCATTATTAACCTAATTTGAAGCCTTAGTTATACTTGAGAATCTTAGCAAGTTTGGAGTAAAATTATGTGAGTTATACCACTTAATATGTTATGAGTATACTTTGTGAAAAGTGGATAAATAGAATACCTATATGAGAAGTATTACACTACTCTATACCATACACCCTCTTTCCTGTCTACTTGACGAATGTAAGGCTGGGGTTAAAATTGGTGGAAGAAACATTAACAACCTTAGATATGCAGATGACACTACTTTGATGGCCGAAAGCAAGAAGGAGCTGGGGAGCCTTCTAATCAAGGTGAAAGAAGAAGCCCCAAACATAAAAAAACAAGATTATGGCAACAAGACTGATTGATAACTGGCAAATAGAGGGATGAATGACAGACTTTGTATTTCTAGGTGCAAAGATTACTGCAGATGCATACTGCAGCCAGGAAATCAGAAGACGCTTACTTCTTGGGAGGAGAGCAATGACCAATCGATAAAATAGTAAAGAGTAAAGACATCACACTGGCAATGAAGATCCACACAGTTAAAGCAATGGTATTCCCCATAGTAACCTATGGATGTGAGAACTGGACCATAAGAAAGGCTGAGTGAAGGAAGATAGATGCTTTTGAACTGTGGTGTTGGAGGAAAGTTCTGAGAGTGCCTTGGACCGTGAGAAGATCCAACCAGTCCATACTTCAGAAATAAAGCCCGACTGCTCATTGGAAGGAAGAATAGTAGAGGCCAAGATGAAGTACTTTTGCCACATCACAAGAAGAAAGGAAAGCTTGGAGAAGACAATGATGCTGGGGAAAATGGAAGGAAGAGGGGCCGACCAAGGGCAAGATGGATGGATGGGATCCTTGAAGTGACTAGAGTGACCTTGAAGGAGCTGGGGGTGGTGACGGCCGACAGGGAGCTCTGGCGTGGCTGGTCCATGAGGTCATGAAGAGTTGGAAGCGACTGAACGAATGAACAACATCCAGAACACCTGGGGACTCATAGGTTGAGAACCACTGGATTAAGAACTATAAGGAAGGCTGAGCGAAGAAAGATAGATGTTTCTGAACTGTGGTGTTGGAGGATAATTTTGAGAGTGCCTTGGACCGCAAGAAGGTCAAATCAGTCCATACTCCAGGAAATAATGCCCAGCTGCTCACTGGAGGGAAGGATATTAGAGGCAAAGATGAAGTACTTTGGTCACATGATTATTTTCTTTTTGTGTCAGGAGTGACTAGAGAAACTGCAAGTCGCTTTTGGTGTGAGAGAATTGGTTCTCTGCAAGGACGTTGCCCAGGGGATGCCCCAATGTTTTATCATCCCATGGGAGGCTTCTCTCATGTCCCCGCATGGGGAGCTGGAGCTGACAGAAGGACCTCATCCACATTCTCCCTGGATTCCAGTGTCCACCCTGTCGGTCTGCAGTCCTGCTGGCACAAAGGTTTAACCTATTGTGCCACCAGGGGCTCCTATCTGATTGCACTCCCATTAGCAAAACAGTCTAGGGTGCAGTCCTCCTTACTAGGAAAAACCCTTATACACACAGTTTTAGATGCCAGCAAGCACTCTCAGTTTGCTACTAGCAAACGAGAGTCCAAAAGTGGCAGGCTAAAACTTGGCACTTCGACCAGTGGCTGGTAATGGATGAGAAGCTCCCTCCTGGGCACACAGAAGACTGGGCGACTTGGCAAATGCTGAACAGACTGAACTCTGGCACCACAAAATGCAGAGCCAATCTTAGGAAATGAGGCTACAAAGTGGAGTCCCTGTATGCCAGGTGGAGAAGAGCAAATCACAGACCTACTACAATGCAGCCTGTGCCCCACCACATGCACAATGGAGAACCTTCATATAGCGACACCAGAGACACTTAAGGGACCACCTTCTGGTCAAAGGAAACTTAGTATACTTTTTTAAAAATTTGTTTATGGTTTTTATACATTATTCTCAATTTGCTTCTGATACGATAAATAAACCACATCTAATCTACATCTTCCTTTTCTTTCCCTCTGCTCTGGGACCAAAGGGGGAGGGGTGTTTTCGGGGTTTTATAGTTCAAATCCACAATTATTGTAAGTTGGATAATGAAGGCTGTATATATCAAGTTTGGTCCAGACCCATCAAGCCATGTGGTACAAACAAACAAACGTTTACTTTATATAGATTGCTGTATCATTATTTTTGCTAGTGATACTCACACATGAGATTCCCTCCCTCATGTACCATAATTACACTACAGCTTTAGGTAATGTATACCTTGAACAGAGCCGATGAAGGCACCTTTTGCTGCTTTATCTCAAGCAGCAAAATGTCTTCAGCTTGCCTTGAACAGGCCTGTTTGTGAGCCTGTTCTTTATTTCCTTAGAAGCAAATTGTATTAGAAAATAAACCTTTATTATGAAAAGAAAGCTGAATCACTTAAGTGAGAACAAGAGTGTTCTTAAATAATACTTAAAGTATCACGACAAATTTCTTACCTAGATAAAACGTTTTTTGTGGGGAACTAATGCAATAATTACTGGCAAAATACTTTCTCAAACATAGACATATAAGCAAAATACAAGCAAGTGTAATCTTTACGAATTATATGTCCATATCTAGACATCAAAAACACTATTAAAATCACACCTAGACCTACTCAATAACATAGAATCACTTGCATTTGTTATTTAAACTTGCATTGCAGTTTTCGTAAGCTTGCTCTATAAATGTTATAAATACTCTTACTAATCCATGAGATGAATATAGAGAAAAAATGAACACATGTAAGTGAATGCTAGTAAAGTACAATGCAATACAATTGCTGGAATGTGGGTGAAATGTTCTGTGACACTATTGCAAAGCTATTATGCTATTTCAGAATGGTGAAAATGG